ACAGGGGGAGGTTGCTGCATCACAGAGGGCCTTCTACTGTGCTACCCAGGAGCTGGATTTTATCCCGTGTGCAAGGGGGAGTGAAAGAAAGGTTTTGAGTAGGAGAGTGACATGGTCAAATTTGCGTTTAAGGAAGATAAACCTGGCAGCGGTGTTGAGCATGGATTAGAGAGGGCTTAAGAAGCTTGGAGGTGGGGACACCTGGAGGAGAACGTCCAAGGTCAGCAAGCTTGTAAGTAGCAGAGCTTGGATGTGAACCGGGGTCTTCTGGCTCCAAGTCCAGCATGCCTGTCACTCTGCCAAGGGGCCTGCCTGTCTAATTAGATTATGATTCACACATGCAATCATTTTTAAGATCAGGAATGACATGCCATATTACGCATGCTTTTCCTTCCTTGGAAGATGAGCTCCACCTACATTTGGAAATACAGAAAATACCTCGTCTCCCTCTTCGCTCCCCTCCTACTTCTCACGGGGTCACCCTCAGTCCTGCATCTGATTAACTCAGCCCTCCCTCTCACACAGGGCTCTGCCTGCAAACCACACTGACAGGGCCAAGTGACAAAGTGCATTAGATCCCTCTGAGGTATTTGGCTTTGTTTTCCTTGGGCCACAGCCTGGCTTTTTGATGCCCCGGGAATGAGGGCACCTGCTTCTTCTCAAGGAGACTCTGCAGCAAGGCCCACGCAGATGGCAGGTCTGGTGTTTTTCGGCTGTCAGGAGCTGTTCGTTCTTGGACCTGGTCCACTCAAAGCTGGATGAGAGGCCAACAGAGCCTGGCAGCTCCTCCGGCCCTTGCCCTGAGGTGGGGGCATTGGCAGCCCCTCAGAGAGAGCACAGGTGTTGGTGAACTAGGCCTGAGGAGGCTGATGGAGGAAGAAGAGAGAACACACCAGTCCCTCATGCATGGATCACAGAACTCATGGTGGGATCTTGAAGCGAGAGCTTTGTAAAATAATTGGGATGCGTTTAACAGAAGGTATATTGTGCATACAGGCAAAGGTAAGTGAGAAGTGCAATCATTAGTAACAGAAAGCAGCCACAAAAGGATGCAGCGGATAAATGGATGCAAAATTATAGACATGCTTAGCTTTGGTAGAGGGTGATAAACAAGTGTTTATCGAGCACCTGCCATGTGAATGTCCTTCAGCACTGCTGGGCCTGCAGCAGCAACCCAGCTGGAAGAATCCTGAATTATTAGAGATCTAGTCACAGGCCTCGCTGGGAGCGGACAGAGAGCCAGAGGACATGGGGCAGAGGGTCCCGGCATTGGTTTTGGTTCTGAGGCTGTGAATTGTCAGGGGAGAGGACACACTCAGGGAGAATGGCGATTTTGCGAGACTTACGGTATTTCTAACAAGTATGAACATGACTCCACAAATCCACTAGTGTAGGAAATATCCATGTCTTCTTCAATTAAAAGAAAAATTTCAATTAATGAAATTTAATTAATTAATTAAATTTTAATTAAAGTTAAAATTAAAATTAAACCTGGCTCTGAACCGCCCTCCCCCATTTCCATCTGGAGATCATTTTATTCTGACCTATCACTGGTGCGTTCCTCCCAATACCACCACCACCAACCCCACCGCCACCACTGCCGCCACCACCATCGGAGGTTGAACAACGACCCAGGAGGCCCAGCCGGGGGGCCTAGAAAAGAGGCAAGGCCTCTGGTCTTCACTTTCCAAGCCTTCTGCCCTCACCCTGATGGTCCATTTCTGCAGGGGCACTAAAGGCTTTACAGGCACACAGAGTTTCTAGAACTTGCTGATGTAGATCCTGGCATCGGGTCTGTCTCCTGGGAGCACCATGGAGCCCTGGGTCCCTCTGGGCTTTGTGCTCTCTGGGCTGCTGCCAGAGAAGGCCTCAGTGTCCAATCCTCACCCAGCCCACTGGCGCATGAGCTTCCTCCTCCTCTCGGCTGCCTCAAATTCACTCCCCTCTCTCCCAGCATCTCCTCTTCAGGGAGATCGAGCTTCCCTAAAACACAAGATGAAACATTCTAGCACCTTCCATTATCGTTTTGGAGGATGGACGGAGAGAAATAGAAAAGGCTTCCCTAACTCCTTGAGATTGGAGCGAGGAGCAGGAGAGAGAAAAATGTCGAGAACTCAATGCAAATTAATATCTCCGTAAATCTTCCTGCTGAGATTGTTAGGTAATTTGTAGGCCATGCAGAGGGGCAGCGGCGCATGGGGAGTAAATGCTGGGATCCACGTGGCCTTGCCTCAGTCTCCTCACAAGTAAACTGAAGATGGTATAACAGTCCCTATCTGGCAGGGTTGCTGGGAGCATAGAATGAGTTAATCCGTATGCAGCACTCAGCACAACGATGGGGCGCCTTGAGCACTCACTGATTGTTAGCTGTTATTATTACACCTCTAGTTTCGCTGATGCAAATACCGACCCTCCCTCAGCACACTTTCAGCATCACTACACCAACGACGTCTGTCTCTTTTCTCAGGGCTAAGACTAGCTCCCTGTCCCCAACCAGGAAGAGAGGAAAAGAAGAAAGAGGGGATGAGGAAAGGAAGGCTCATCTCGTGCTGGGCACCCTAACAGAGGGTGTGGGTTCTGATCTCTGCTTGCCTGGATGGCCGATCCTCCGAGGAGAAGGGAACAGTCTAGCTGTGATGATGATCCTGATGAGAGAACAATTTCAGGAATCTGTGGGCAGTGGGCTGTGCTCTTTGCAGATGGAGCTCGTCACCATCGGAGGTGTGCACTTTGCCAGTGGAAGGGGCACTGGACCAGGAGTCCTGCCCCATCCTTCAGCTGGCTTCATCTCTCAACTCTCTAAGTGTCACTTCCTCACAGATGTCCTCTCTGCCCCTAATCTAACCTAGCTCCTACCTGTCATTCTCTCTTGGTGTTTCTTGTTCTTTATTATTAGCCTTTACTCAATTTTTAATTATAAATATTTTGTGTGTTTGTTCAGTGTCTTCTCTCTCAGTAGACCGTATAGCTCTGGAGGGCAGGGATTAAGTGTGTTTTATTGGCCAAGTAGAATCACTTCACTTCAACTTTTAATCTGTTAGATGAGGATGGTAATACTGCTTTTGTCTCCCTCACTGAACTATGAAATTAAAAAAGGTAATACATGTGAAACGTCCTTGTAAATCATGGAACAGGATGCCAACATTAGTTACGCTCAGTGCTCTTTGAATGCACCTCACAAGCTGAACGCTTGTGAAATGAGCTCCTCGACAGATTGGCATTTTGTTAGATGAGATAATAGAGGAAAGTGCTTACAACAGGATATATGTCGTGAGAGCTTTTATGGTCTAAAGTCAAAGATGGCTGCCCCAGTCTCTAAAAATACCACATTCACTCAATCCATCGGAAGCAGGCTTGAAATAGTGAAATGCAAGCACACCCATGGCTGGAGATGTCCAAACATGTGTGACAGCGAGGAACCAGGAGCCCAGCAGTTCTGAACACCGGGGGGAGGTTTTGCAAGTTAGTTCTCAATGATTGATGTTCTTTTCCTACCAAGAAGCAAGAATGGTGTGATATCTCCCCTGCCCCGTGGCAGAGAGATTGCAAAGGGACAGAAGCCATTTCCAGAAAAATGGCTGCTGCTGCCAGCATTTCACAGAGAGCAAACGGGAGGACATGAATCTCCTTAAGTTCAAACCCTGCACAGATATATGTGCAGCATCCCATTCAGAACAGGGAGAGCTGGGGCGGGAGGGATGTAGTTGACGAATGCTCTAGTCCTGGGCTGAGACTCTTCTGCTTTTGATGGACCAGCGAGGAAATGAGAAATGATCCATTCTCATGGCCAGGGTGATGCATGAATCACTGAGGCTGGGAACCCGAAGACCAAACGGTGTTGAACCAGAAAGATAAAAGAAATAGATCAGATTGGGCCACAATAGGAGGTGACACCATAACTACACTGAGTATTCCTTGTTGTTTGTATATATGATTATGGTTTAACCGACTCCTTAGTGAGATTTGTAGAGTTGTTTGCATGTTTTATGGGATCTCCAAGGACCCCAGATTCCCTGTTGTTGGTGGAGAGCCCGGTTTTCCCCCAGAATTTTGACTTGGGCCTGAGTGACCTTCGCTGGGACTGCCTTGAACAGAGACAAGGTGAGCAGTGAGCTCGGGGAGGTAAGGGAATCGGAAAAGGTAGGCTAGGTAATGGCGGGTCTACAGGAATAGAAACAGGCCCTAGGATGGGGTCAGGCAGGTGGACCAGACACCAGACCCAAAAGAAGACAGAGCCCCATCACAAGATGCATGTGGAGATACATGAACAGAGACCAAGGTCGAGAAAGTGAGAAAAGCGAAGGTCACACGCGGCAGGACACAGGAGGAGTTGGGCTGGGGGCCACGCCCATCAGGGAGGTGAGAATTAGAAGGAGAAGGGATACGAACTTGTAATAAATTTTCTTTAAAAAAATCTTAATTCGTTAAATAAATGATTGCCCTTAGCGTAATTGCTTTATCTTAGCCCCAAAACATTGAGGTTAACTTTACTCTCCTCCGTCATGGGACTGAGGCCACAGAAACGGGCTTCTCTCAGGCCAGGAGTTGTAGGTGTCCCCCCGTGTGCCATCTACAGCGTTTCCAATCATAATCCACCTGGCGTGAGAAGTGTGCTGTGATGGCGGTCAGTGCAGGGCTCCGTACAGGGATGTCAGAGAGAGAATCAGAGGCTGGGGACCCAGGGAAGGCCTTTGGGAACCTGCTGTGATGTGAAGGGAGAGTAGGGAGACTAGGGCGCTGTGGGCAGAGACCAGGTCGGTCCTCCGTGCCCCAGGCCAGCGGGGAGCAAAGCAGCACAGAGAGGGGGTGCAGGGCAAACCCAGAGGAGAGGTGAGGACGGCAGACGCAGCGAACTTCCCATTTTGCCCAAGGGCAGGCTCTGATCTTTCTCGGAACAGGTAGAAGAGTTACTCAAAGAAAAGTCGCCACTTGATCTGCCTTCTCAGCCCGGGAGGAAAGGGGAGCGCTCACACCCTCATGACGCACTCCGCGCCACCGCGAAGGTAAACAGGAGAGGAGTCGCAGGAAAGTAAACAGGGGATTCACAGATCCCTGAAAGCGAAAGCAGAGGCTGGGAGTGTGCGCCCCAGTGAAGGCGCGGGACGAGGAGGCGTGGGGGTTCTCCTGCCGAGGAGACAGAGGGCAGCTTTGTGCGAGGCCACCAGCGCGCCCGCCTCCCGTCCCCGGGGTGCGCACCGTCCTGGGGAACATGCCGGGGCTCCTCCTTCCCACGCTTCTCCTCGCTGCCCTGTCACAGGTAAGACCTCCCGTCTTACTCCTTCCCTTCAGGAGACTACAGCAGTTCTCGTTTCTTCAGGTCCAAAGTAAAAAAAGGACGAAGATGGGGCAAGAGGAGGGATAAATTCCTTGTGGAAATACAGGAGCCATTTTCCTCTGCAAATAAAGTTCTGCTTTAGTTTATTAGCGTCATGAAGGAAGTGGAAAACATTTCCCCTTTTCAGGTAATGGCACTTAATCCTATTTCGATGTGTTTGAACAGTTCCCAAACTTTAATAATACGTATATTTTTTATTGGCGCATAACACACAGCGCGTATTTGGGGAGCCGCAGCTCTGCCTGGCCTGGCGCAGTGAATGGTGCCCCTTCATGTGGGCTCCAGGCTGGGGCTCAACTTTCCGGAGTCGGGTACAAAATGTGCAAAGAGCCACTGGAAAAAGTGATTTTGACAACTTTTTTCGGTTAAGCCTGTCCTTGTTTGAAAGGAGCACTTCGGGACAACCATTTATATTTTTGAAACAGTCTATGACTTTCTCTTTTCTCGACCCATGTGTTTCTCCCTTTTTATGAAAGGGAATCAGTCCAGGGAGACTTTGAAATATTTCAAGCAACAGACCAAAGGGTTTAATTTAATATGATTAATTCATTGCCTTGGTATTTTTTAATGAGAAGATTAAAACAGGGTGACTGACTTATGGATTTATTTACATGGGGGAGGTTATTGCTTGCACAGAGAACAGAGCTTTTGAAACCTGGTGATTGAGAAAACATGGACGTGTCTGTGAGTTAATAGTTGATTGGGGTGGTAAGTAGTAGATATATCTTAGAAAACGAAGGATTGAAAATTGTTACATAGAAAGAGATTTAAAAGGATTGTAACAAGAACATCTGGGGTACACTTCATTCCTGCTGTTATGAGGTGGGGTACACTTCCCCAGTAAACGTGAAGTGAGATGGGGCTGCCTATCTCCTATTCCACTGTTCCTGTGAAAAGGCTTGTCAGTGTATAATGACATTACAGGGGATTGAAAGCTACAACATATTCCTAAATGGCAAATATCCCAATGTAGAGAGATGTGTCCAAAATAAAAAACAAAAACAAACACAAAAAGGTGTTATGAGTAGATCAACGAGAAAGTATTATTTTGCTTAATTGTGCTGTTATGAATTTTGAAAGGGTCTGATAATACCTAGCATTTATTGAACATGGGCTATAAGCCAAGCACTGTGCTGGCACTTTAGTCATTATCTTTTTTTGCGGGGGGGGGAGGTATGTGGGAGGGGAAAATTAGCCCTGAGCTAACATCTGCTGCCAATCCTCCTTTTTTTGCTCAGAAAGACTGGCCCTGAGCTAACATCCATGCTCATCTTCCTCTACTTTATATGTGGGACGCCTGCCACAGCATGGCTTGACAAGCGGTGCCATGTCCGTGCCCGGGATCCGAACTGGCAAACCTCGGGCCACCAAAGTGGAGCATGTGAAGTTAACCGCTATGCCACTGGGCTGGCCCCTCTTTAGTCATTATCTTAATCCTCAAAATAACCTTGCAAGGTGCATATTATTAATCCCATTTTACAGAGGGGGACTGAGGCTCAAAGATGCAATAAATGATAGAAAGTTATCTAAGATCACAGAACTATACTAAAGCTCAGATCTGTTGTGACAACCCTCATTCTTTGTATTGCACCATTCTGATGAGGCTTTTGTTGTTTTCAGATTTTGCTTTTGAAACCAATCAAAATTATGTCTGAAGAAAAGGGAAAACAAAATAATTCTTTATATTTACCCATATATTTGCCATTTCCAGGACTCTTCATGTCTTCCTGTATTTCTGAATTACTATCCATTGTAATTTCCCTTCAAACTGAAGATCTTCCTTTAGTATTTCTTGTGAGGCAGGTCTGCTAGCAACAATTTCTCTCAGTTTTTGCTTATCTGGAAATGTCTTTTATTTCACCTTCATTTTTGAAAGATAGTTTCACTGGTGATAGAATTCTAGGTTGACAATTTTTTTTTTCTTTCAGCATTGTCTCTGGGCATCTTGTTCTTCTCTTCCTTCTCTTCCTCCTCCTCCTTTTCCTTTATGTTTTTTGTTTAAAAAAAGTCAATTTTTTTCTAGCAGTTTTAGGTGCATGGCAAAACTGAGAGGAAGGTATAGAGATTTCCCATATATCCCCTGCCTCCATACATGTGTAGCCTCCCCCATTATCAACATCCTCCACCAGAATGGTATGTTTGTTACAATTGATGAACCTACATTGACACATCATTGTCACCGAGAGTCCATAGTTTATGTTATGGTTCACTCTTGTTGTATATCCTATGGGTTTGGATAAATGTACTATGACATCTACCCACCGTTTTAGTATCATACAGAGTGTTTTCACTGCCCTAAAAATTCTCTGTGCTCCACCTATTTACCTTTCCCCACAACCCCTGGCAACTACTGATCCCACAGTTTTGCCCTTTCCAGAATGTTGTATGATTGGAATCACACAGTATGTAGGCTTTTCAGATTGGCTTCTTTCACTTAGTAATACGCACATCTTTTAATGGCTTGATAGCTCATTTCTTTTTCGTGCTGAATGATATTTCATTCTCAGGATGTACCACAATTTGTTTATTCATTCTCTGACTAAAAAACGTCTTTGTCTCCTTTTGAAGGGAAGTCAGATCTCATTGTTATTCTCCTGCGTGTAATGCTTTCCTTTTCTCAGGCTGCTTTCAAGATTTTCTCTTTATCCTTGGTTTTCACTATTGAAAACCAAATTGGCCTCAGAGACGATATAGAGATACTTCAAGACTGGAAAGATAAACAGGTGTCCCCAGGTGGGCAGTTTGGGGAGTGGGCATTTCATCAGAGGGAGCAATATGAGAAAAAACATTGAGGAGAAAATCGACATGGTGAGTCTAGAAAACTGCAAGGCATAGGAAGAGAGTGCATCGGGAGCTAAGGCCGGGGAGGTCGGCACGAACCACTGCAGAGGGGGCTTTAGATAGCATGCTCAGAAGTTTGTACTTACACTGGAGACAGTCGTGATGGGCTTTAAGGAGAGGAGTAATACAAGCAGATATGGATTTTTTTAAAGAGATCCCTCTAGCAGCAATCTGGTAGATTTGTTTAAGTCACTCTTGAGGGAAGGAGACCAGTTAGGAACTTATTGCAATAGTAACTAGTTAGCAGCAGTAAAAATGGGGAAGAGGGACTAATTCTACGGATGTGATGACAATAAGCAGGATTAGTTACTGAACGGCCATGGGAGGTGAGGGAGAGGATGACCCAGATGATTCCTAGCTTCCTAACTGCAACTTTTGGAGAAGGTGTCTGGCGGGGGAAAGGATGACTTTTGCACATGAGTTCTTCCTGGAGGACATTCGAGTGGAGATGTCCAGTAGGCAGTCAGCTATATGGGTCTAGAGTTCAGTGGAGAAGTCCTGGCTGAAAATTCAGTTTCGAAGCTGCCTCTGGCAGAAATTGAAGGCAAGGGAGTGGATGAGATTGCCAAGAGACAGCGAACAGAGTGAGAAAAGCAATACGGTAAGGTCATGAAACCCCACGAAGCCTTCCTCTAAGTCAAATTCGGGATAAAGGAGCCTGCAGAGGTATGTTGAGAGGTTGGGCTGGAACTGGGAGGGCCTGGTGTCGTGAAAGTCAAGGGAGTGGAGGGATTAAGAAAGAGTCACATGCCTTAGGGAGGTGGGACAAGGGGAGGAGCAAGAGACCCCATGAACATGAGCCCGCTGAGAGGCCGCTGAACCTGGGAAGGACTCCCTGGTAACCTCGGCTGAACCTGTGCAAAATTAAGAAGTAAACAGTCACTATTTCTAGCCTCGCTATTTCTACTCCCTTCTCCACTTTTGTATTTCCTTTTCCCCTCCTCCTTCTGCAGGAGCCCAGCACTGTATCCTCAGCATTGATTCTCACATTGTATATTCAACTTGAATAGGAGCTGAAAGTCTTACTCCAGGGAACACATGTTTTAATAGTGATAAGAAAAAAGGCTCGGGGTTTAATGGTGGAATTTCAAACTGATACTTTTTTTTTCTTTTTGAGGAAGATCAGCCCTGAGCTAACTGCTGCCAATCCTCCTCTTTTTACTGAGGAAGACCGGCCCTGAGCTTACATCCGTGCCCATCTTCCTTTACTTTATATATGGGACGCCTACCACAGCATGGCATGCCAAGCAGTGCCATGTCCGCACCTGGGATCTGAACCGGCAAACCCTGGGCCGCCGAAGTGGAACGTGTGCACTTAACTGCTGCACCACCGGGCTGGCTCTCAAACTGATACTTTTAAATGCAGAGTTTTTGAGTTGAAACGAGGTTTCGCTCTCTGGATTAGTCCAGCTGCCTTCAGTTCCATCAAATGAAAACAGAGAGTTAATTACGTAATTACTTGCCAGGCACCCGGCTGGGTACCAGTAGTGCACCAGCAAATGAACCACAAGCCCCTGAGGCTGGGTAGCCTTATGGTGAGTGGAGAAGACAGGCGCTTACACACATAATCTCAGCACAAAGACGTGTGAAAGGGAGGCAGGGGAGGTTGTAGAAAGTTTTCTGGAAAAGGTGATACTTAAACAGAGCCCTGAAGGATAACTAGGTAAAGGGCTGGGGTCAGGTGGAGAATCTTACAGGCAGGAGGAGCAGCGTCAGATAGGCAGGGACTCCAGACACTTTAACTTGCTAGAACCTAAGGAATGTAAAAAATGCAAGAGAAGAGGAGGGCCCTGAATGCTGTGCTTAGGAGCTTGGACTTTGCTGTGTCAGCGACTTTCAGGTGTGAGGGATGAAGGGGAGGGAACAGGTGAGGTTGATTTCCAGCTTCCTGGCTTGGGGAACTCAGTGCATGGTGCCACCATTCACTGAAATGGGAACTACTAGCTGGGGAGCAGTTTGTCGGATGAGGGAGAAAATGAGGTGCTTGTGGGACATCAGAATGGATAGACCCTGTAGAAATTAATGAGTTGTAAGCTTATGGGGCGAGGTCTAGGCTGGTGAGGAGAAACAGATGCAGAGATTCAGCGATTTGTTCAATACCAAAGCTGGTTGTGGCAAGACCTGGACTAGGGAAGGAAAGAGGGTAAGGGTTGAGAGCTCTGACTCTGGACTCTGGTTTAAAACGCTTACTTGCTGTGTGACCTAGGACAAGTTAAATAATGTGAGCCTCAGCATCCTCATTAATAAAAAGGGGTGTATATGTTCCTATCGCTACTCTAACAAATTACCACAAACTTAGTGGCTTAAAGCAACACAAATTTATTATCTTACAGTTCTGGACATCTGTAGCCTGAAAATGGGTCTTACAGGGTTAAAATCAAGTGTGGACAGGGCTGTGTTCCTTCTGGAGGGCCCAGGGGAGAATCTCTTCTTTGCCTTTTCTAGCTTCTAAAGGCTGCTTGCATTCCTTGGCTTGTAACCCCCTTTCAGCAGTGGCATCTCTCCTACCTCTGTTTCCATCATCACATCTCTACGGTCCTGCCTCTCTCTTTCCCGTATAAGGATGCTTGTGATTACAGTGGACTCACCTGAATAATCCAGGATAATCTCATCTCAACATCTTTAATTACATCTGCAAAATCCCCTTTGCTATGTATGGTAACATGTTAGGTTGTGGGGATGAGGACATGGACGTCTTTGAGGGGGCCATTATTGTACCTGTCACATGGGGATAATAACTACTCCATACTCTTCTTTTGAAGGCTAAATGGTATAATTGTGTAAGGTACTTGACACCTAGGAAGTACCATGTTCTTTCACTCAATAAATATTTACTATAGACAACAAGACAGACATTAGGCAAAGAGCTTGCTCTCAAGAAGCTCACATTCTTGATGTGTGACTGCAACAATAAACGAGTAAAATATATAGGTAATAAGGTAGGTGGAAAGAAGGTCTGTGGGGAAAGAGCTGGGGCAGGATGCTGTTTTATAAAGGGTGGTCAAGAAGGACCTCATCGATAAACTTGAGCACAGATCTAGAGAAAGTCAGGGTGAGCCACAAAGATACCCAGGGGAAGAGCATACCTGGAGTCTTCAAAGACCAAGGAGGCCAGTGTGGAGGCTTGGGTGAAGCAAGCCAGGGGGTGTGTGGGAGTGGGGACAGATGTTGCAGGGCCTCGGAGGGTAGTTTGGATGTTACGTTGAAATGGGAGGCTATGAGGAAGCCACCCCTTATGAGCAAGGAGTGACATGGACTGAGGTATGATTGACATACAAAAAGATGTACATATTTGATGTATACAATTCGATGAGTTCGGGGTTAAGTATATACCCGTGAAACCATCACCACCATCAAGGCCATAAACATATCCATCACCTCCCAAAGTTTCCTCCTGCCCCTTTTTTATTATTATTTATTTATGTATTTTTTGGTGTGGTAGGAACATTTAACATAAGATCTATTCTCTTAGCAAATTTTAAGTACACAATACAGGATTGTTAGCTATAGGTACTAGGCTGTGTGTGTCTCCAGAACTTACTTATCTTGAAGAACCCAAACTTCATACTTTTTCACTATCCCATTTTCCCCACCCCTCAGTCCCTGGCAACCACCATTCAGCTCTCTGCTTCTATGAGTTTGACTATTTTAGATTCCACATATAAGTGACATCATATACTATCTGTCTTTGGGTGTGGGGCTTATTTCACGTAGCATGATGTCCTCGAGGTCCATCCATGTTGTTGCGAATGGCAGAATTTCTTTCTTTTTATCGCTGAATAATGTTGCATTGTCTGTCTACCACAGTTTCTTTCTCCATCGACGGCGATTTAGGTTGTCTCCATATTTTGGCTACTGTGAATAATGCTGCATGGACATGAGAGTGCAGGGATCTCTTCCGGATCCTGATTTCAATTCCTTTGGATAAATACCCAGAAGTGGGATTACTGGATCATGTGGTAGTTCTATTTTTAGTTTTTTGAGGATCTTCCGTACTGTTTTCCATAGTCGCTGTACCAATTTACATTCCCACCAACAGTGCACCGGGATTCTCTTTTCTTCACATCCTGGCCAACACTTGTTATCTTTTGTTTTTTTTTTTTTAAATAAACAGGTGTGAGGTGCCATCCATTGTGGTTTTGATTTGCATTCCCCCGATGATTAGCGATGCTGAGCATCTTTTCATGTTCCTGTTGGCCATTTGTATGTTTTCTTTGGAGGAATGTATATCCAAGTCCTTTGCCCCTCTTTTAATGGTTTTCTTGTGTGTGTATGTGCCATTGAGTTGTATGAGTTCCTGATAAATTTTAGATATTAACCCCTTATTAGATATATAGTTTGCAAATATTTTCTCCCATTACATAGGTTGCCTTTTCATTTTGTTGATTATTTCCTTTGCTGTGTAGAAGCTTTTCAGTTTGATGTAGTTCCACTTATTTTTGCCTTTTCTTTTAAAAGAACATTCCTGGATACCAAGTGAAGAATGTAGAGGACAAAGGGGGAAGCAAGGAGAACCTTTAGAAGACAATTATAATCATCTAAGTGAAAAATAATGGTGGCTTGAATCACTGTGGTAGCAGTGGGGGTATTAAGAAATGATCAGAATGGGTATAATTTAAAGATATAACCATTAGGATTTACTGACAGGATTGGATACAAAATGTGAGAGGAGTCAAGAATGACCTCACCCCAAGATATTCTGGAAAAATGGAATTGGCATTTGCTCAAATAGGGATGTCTATGGAAGAGTAGATTGGAAGGGGAAATTGGGAATTCATGGTTGGTCATGTGAAATTAGCTATGCCTATCGAATCTCTACGGGGAGATCCGTTAAGTAGGCAGTTTGAGTCTGAGCTCAGAAGAGAGGTCTGGGTGGGAGATAAGAAATATAGTGAGAGAAGATACTTTAGAGGTCTTAACCCCAGGGGGCGCCAATGTTTAGCGATGAGGAGGATGAGATGCAACCAGCAAAGGAGACTGAGAAGGAGTAATCCATGAGAAAGGAGGAGTAAGAGAGTGATGTCTTGGCTACCGAGTGAAGAAAAGTTGAAGGAGAGAATGATTATGTTAAATGCTGATAGATATATTATTACAATTTACCACACCATATTCTGCCAATTTGGGGGAATCTTCTATTTCCATAAAGCTTCTGAAATTAGTTTGAGGAATCATTTCTAACATCACCTTTATTATCAAATGAAGTTCTGCAGGGCACAGGGCACGCCTGAAGGAAGGCCTGGAGAAGTCTCAGAAGTGCATCAGCGGAAACAGTTTTGTCATTGGCCCTGTAAATGCCCTCATCAGGAGCCCAGGTGCCCTCCTGGAGTGAGCTTTGTGAGGGATGGCTGTGGATGCTGTAAAATCTGTGCCAAGCAACCAGGGGACATCTGCAATGAAGCTGACCTCTGCGACCCTCACAAAGGGCTGTACTGTGACTACTCAGCAGACAGGCCTAGGTACGAGACTGGAGTGTGTGCATGTAAGTGTCTTCTTCTGAACCTGCTGGAAAAGGTGGAATCTAGACAGGATTTTTTTCTGCAATTGTTAATTTGGAATTACCAGCTTAGTTTGGCTACATATAAGATGGGTTTAGTTTTCACACACCCGTGGGACTGGCTCCATCATGTTGGACCCTGTGTGAAATTAGCAGATGTTTACACACGTTCAGAAACCTCTATTTTTACTGCGTTGAAGCAACCTTGCAGTTCTTCTCAGTTAATTGTTAATGATAGGAGAAATTATGTAGACAGTCTAACTTCTTAAAGTGCCACAAAATGACAGTTTTTGTTAATACTGTCAAAAACAATCTGAATTCAGCCTTTTCTGTAATGAAAAAATAATCTTGCTTAAAAGGTGACGATGTATATCTAGTATTCAGACAGATGCCTTTCATCTCAGCCTTCCCAACTAGCCGTCAAGTTACTGTACTTTTTGCTGAAGCAGGTTAGTAAAAAAGATGGCGGGGGCACCCCAAATCACAGCCTGACCCCTAGCTCTATGGGTCTAAGCTCTGGAGGCTGATTGAGACCATCTAAATCTACAACACCTTGACAGTAATTCAGGATGTCAATTTATTTAGGATAAAAAATAAAGCCTCCGGGCTGGCCTGGTTAAGTTCGTGCACTCCGCTTCGGAGGCCTGGGGTTCACTAGTTTGGATCCTGGGCGTGGACCTATACACTACTTGTCAAGACAGGCTGTGGTAGGCATCCCACATATGAAGTAGAGGAAGATGGGCATGGATGTTAGCTCAGGGCCAGTCTTCCTCAGCAGAAAAAGAGGATTGGTGGCAGATGTTAGTTCAGGGCTAATGTTCCTCAAAAAAAAAAACAAAGATAGTCTCTAACAGAAGAGAAATACTCTTGTCAGCTGAGCAGTTTAGTTACTCTGTGGAAAAGCCTTCAATGGGAAGGCAAATGACCAGAAGTTTGTGAACATGGAATGAGAGCACATCTTTGGAGTCAGACTCAATGTGTCAAGTCATTCAAGTCTGATAGCCTGATGCCCCTGTCAGCACAATATTATACTGGTTAAGAATGTAGGCTCTGGGTTCAAATCCTTGGCTCCATCTGCTGAGTGACCTTGATCAAGTTGTTTAATCTCTCTGTGCCTCAATTATGTCCTACGTACTTCCATTCTTACAGAGTTGTTAGGAGGATAAAATGAAATAATGAGATAAAACCCAACACACCCAGCACAGTATCTGGTATGAGTAGACCCTCAAAAGTGTTAGCTGTTTTTTATGAAAATTCTATAGGGAAAACATGGCCTTTTCAGACTCTGGCATTCAGGACACTCCTTTCTCCCAAACAATGCTGGGTCAGTTAGTCCGTTAACCTAACAAACATTTAGTGAACATCATTTACTGAGCCAGGCACTCGGACTGAGGACACAACAGGGGAAGAAAAGACACAGACCCTTCTCTCACAAAGTCAGTTTATTGTGTCACACAGATCTTTCCACAAGTAATTTCACATACAATGTGATGAATATTTTAACAGAGCATAGCCATGAGGATGGGGGTGGGGATAATCTATAACTGGGGTCACAAACTATGGCCCAGGGACCAAATCTGGCCCACAGCCTGTTTCTGTAAATAGTGTTTCGTTGGCACACCAGCATGCCCATTCAGTTACGTACAGTCTATGGCTGCTCTGCAGTGGCAGAGTCCAATAGTTTCCACAGAGACCATCCTATGTACTATGGCCTGTAAAGGCTAAGATATTTACTGTTTGGCTCTTTGTGAAAATTTGTTGATTCCTGATCTAGAACAACAGTTTTTTAAACTTTTTGGCCCAATGTTCCCTTTAGTCTTAGAAATCAGTGAGGACACTAAAGACCTTTTGTTTATGTGGGTTATCTCTATGGTATTTAGTGGATTGGAAAATTTAAAATATTTGCTAATTCATTTGAAAATAACAGCAAACCCATTGCAAATTAATAGGAATAATGTATTTTATGAAAAAGTCTCATTTTCTAAAACAAAGGAAAGTTTAGTGAGAAGAGTGGAAATGTTTTACATTCCTGCAGATCTCTCTGCTGTCTGGCTTAACAGAGATGCAAGATTCTCACATCTGCTTCTGTTTCAATCGATGCGACATGTTGTTCTGGTTGACATATATGAAGGAAATCCAACCTCACACAGATACATAGTTGGAAGAGGATGAAATATTTTTACAGGCTTTTCAGATAATTGTGAATATTCTTTTTTGATATTATATTCAAACTTGAGAAGTGATAGTTTCCTAAAAATGGCTGCATCATGGAATCTGAAACCACATCAATGAACTTGTCCAACTCTGTGACATCAAAATACATTGGTCTATCCAAGACCCATCTGGAATGCGTCTTTTACTCACGCGTGATTTTGTAATACCATGCATTAGTTATTTGGAAAACATCAGTTTGGAAAAACGGGTTATACAGATGTTTCAAATGTTGATACACTGAATTATACAATATTTAAAAAAATCACATTAATTAATACCAATCTCATCACCAAAGTCTACATATTGGGTAGCTATAAAGACCTCAGTGGTAGACACAGTTTTCTAAAATTCTAATTTTTGCTTGAAAGCTGGAATTCTCTCATTGGCCACAAATACTGTCAGTTGTTTTCCTTAAAGTGACAGGCTCACTTTGTTCATTTTTGAGAAAATGTCTGCCTAAAACTCGAGTCTGCATAACCATGGTTTACTAGTCATTTCTTCATGTGAAATTCCCACTAAAAAATTGGCCAGTTTGGCCCAAAACTCAAACAATAGCATAGGTGCTTTTCCTCAAGATAACTATTATGCTTTGGTACACAGAAATGTTCAATGTATACTTCCTATTTTGCCACATAGAATATTAAAAAGACATGTATTTGATGATTAAGATTTAATAAAATTAATAATTTTTACTGTGTTATCAAGGACGTTCTTAAGTAAAACTAGCTTTTTTTTTTTTTTTAAGTACAAGTGCATGGCAAGGAATAACACAATGACTAACCTGTACAGTTTGATCCATGCTAAGGTGCCAGCAGCAGTTTTAGCCACCATTGCTTTTGTACCATCAGTGCAAATATCAACACAGTGAAAAAGCCAGTTATATCTTAGTAGTCCGAAAGAGTTTTGACTTTACAGATTCCATGAAAGGGCCTCAGGCACTGCCAAGGGGTCCATGGGCCACACTTCCAGAGCTGCTGAGCCAGGTCAATAATGCCCCTCAGAGGAAGTGAAAGTTTCCTCCAATTCTCTTAACAGTTACTTTGCAGTACTGTAGTTAAACAAATTATGATTACTTCAGTCATTCACATATCCTGACTTCCTAACCATACATCCTAGCCTGTTGTTGGGCATCTGGGGAAACCTCAGTCTCACCAGCCATCAACCCATCTTTCAGATTTACAATCATTATCTCGTTGCTATACTCATATTGGAATTTTGCTCCAGAACCTAACCTTTGCTTGGTCTTAATTCCAGAAGTGACCATTTGGGACTGATAGCCTACAACATAATGAAAATGTCTCATTTTCACCCTTCTACAGATGTTCTGTGAAGGAGGTTCCAGATGGGCCCTAAGAAGATGAGAACTTGACTTCATAAAAGAGATAGTTATTTCCTCTATGGTTTATAACTGGAGGTCTAGTCTATCAGTTAGGGCTTCTTTGGTGATTTTGCTCTTTTCTATCTTCAGACCTCGTAGCAGTGGGATGCGAGTTCAACAGTGTTCATTACCATAATGGCCAGGTGTTTCAGCCCAATCCCCTGTTCAGCTGCCTCTGTGTGAGTGGGGCCATCGGATGCACTCCTCTGTTCATACCAAGGCTGGCTGACAGTCGCTGCTCTGGGGCTAAAGGTGGAAAGAAGTCTGATCAATCAAAGTGTGGCCTGGGACCATTACAACAGCAGCCCTCAACAAGCTACAAAGCAATGCCAGGTGCTCCTAAGTAGAACTGTTTTTCATGAGTGACTTTTTGTGGTTTTCTCTCATATTCCTTTTCTGTACCACAGGTACTCAGTCAGTACTTATTGATTGGTGGCCCCTGTGAGATTCAGTTTGGTTGTGCCATCTCAGTCTGCCTCAGGCAGGGACATTCTGAGTACCTGAAAGGACACTTTATAATGTTATAGATTTTTCAGTAAAATATTGCAGTTTTTAAAAACTCTACTAGGTCAGGAAAACTCTTCTAAAATCTTACTACCTTTGCTTATTACCACTCAACCTCTTCTCAAGAAATTTGACCCAATATTGTTCACGTGTTCCCTGGAAAAGCTTTTATTTGTATTGTTCTATTATGAGTAAGAAGTATGAACCCATCCAGTTTCAAAAATTTTCAAACACAACTTTTCTATATGATACAACCGGAAATAGAAGCCTATTAATTAAAACTATTTGAGGACGTGTTTTGAATTTGTAAAGATTATTTCTAAAAATAGAAAACTGCTGATGTAAAATTATCCTTTCATTTACTCTGAAAATGAAGCTCAACAACGACCAATCTCTCTCTCTCCCTAAATAAACGCACACACGCATTTTTAATTAGGTTACCCAGGTGTGTATTTAAGTCAGAAACATGAAATGAGATTATTTATTACTCATCTTGAACACATGGCCATTTACTGTTAGAATCAATACATTCATGAGCCTCATATTCTGGTCAGCTCTAAGTTAGCGTCTTATTTAAGTGCAAAAATGCCAGCATATGAAGCACAGATGAGCCAGGACTCAAAAGGGGCAATATTGATGCCTGGTTCTTATTCATATCTCTGTTTTCATCCAGAAATCAAGAAGGCCTTTTACATGAAATTTAGAGCTTAGGGGGCTGGCTCCGTGGCCGAGTGGTTAAGTTTGCGTGCTCCGCTGCGGCGGCCCAGGCTTCGGATCCTGGGCGCGGACATGGCACTGCTCGTCAGGCCACGTTGAGGTGGTGTCCCACATCCCACAACTAGAAGGATCTGCAACTAAGATATACAACTATGTACCGGGGGGGTTTAGGAAATAAAGCAGGAAAAAAACAAAAAAGGAAGATTGGCAACAGTTGTTAGCCTAGGTGCCAATCTTAAAAAAAAAAAAGAAATTTAGAGCTTAGTGAATGAAAGGTGCCATGGAAACACAGAATATCTGTATATGCTAAAAACTCCTAAGTTCACTTATATTATGTGGCTGTCTAATGAAAGCAACTATAGTCAGAGAAATGAGTTTTAGATATGTAAAAACTAACTCTATGAAAGGAACATGCTTAGGGACCCCAATTATGTCAGTTAATTTGAAAAAAATCTAACAGGTTGGGGTAAATTTGCATTTACCATACATAGTTATTCAACTAACAGCACAATGACACTACAGTCATGCACCGCATAACGATGTTTTGGTCGACGACAGACTGCGTATACAACAGTGGGCCCATATGATTAGTACCACATAGCCTAGGTGTGCAGTAGGCTCTACCATCTAGGTTTGTGTAAATACATGCTATGGTGTTTGCACAATAATGATATCTCCTAAGGATGCATGTCTCAGAATGTATCCCCATCATTAAGCGACGCATGACTGTAATGCTCTAAGATGTATAAAATTATAAGCCAAATTGTTCTTTTATCAAACTGTACAGCAACAGCTGATTTTCTGCTTTAGGCCAAAGTGACTCAATATACAGCTCTTCTTAGAACACATACTTGAAACTCCCTGGTGGGAGAGACTCCCTTAGAGCAGCAGTTTTCCACAAGTAGGGCCCTCTGGATCAAGTTCAAGTTGGTCTAACTTGTGAAGTTAGAGCAGTTTCAGAGGGTTCACTTGGAACCTGGCTGGAGAGGGTGTCAGATGGTCATTGTTAGTGATTTGTGCTTTGCTGAAAAAATGAGAAAAATCTCCCAAATTGCTCTCTGGCATTTGAGATATCGGCCCAGATATGTTTCAAAGTATATGTTCAGTCTCTAACGTCTCTCCTTTGCTTAACTCTGAAACTGTATTTAAGGGCCCAAACAGGAGATTGGCTTTTAAAGACAACCACAATGACAAACACACACTTTAAGATATATTTGTGATAGTAACTTATATACTTAGTTAATTCTGGGTGGTCTATAGTTGGAACTAGGTTTGCTTGGTCAGTATGAAGTATGCCATGACAGAATGCCCCCATGCTTTTCTCACTGCTCACCAAGTACTAAACTTTTAAAAACCTCTTCTGGTTTTCTCGCTTTGTAATGAACGTTAAACAAATTCCTGAACTGCAGCTCTTGGCTTAACTTTAAGTGAGATTATTGGTAATGCAATAATCTAACCTACCTTTATTTATTGCAGATGCGTGCCAGGCTTTTAATCTGCTTCCTGCCTTGAGGTCTTATAACTGCTGTCTACCTTCCAGGTATCTTCATGTTTCTGCTTCCTCTTCCTCAGTTCTGTATGCAATTGCAAGATCCTACTGTAATAACACTGAAAACAGTTTCAAAGTCATTTTATTCAAAGATTGCACATACTTCAAAGCGACTGATATTTCCTATCAAGAAGACATTTTTTTTTGTAGGGATCTTTTTGAGTTTTAAATTGACATTTTGAAGGAATGTAGCCAGAATTTTGCTATGTTCAACTGCAGACTCAAATCACCTTATTCCTGAAGCATCCATTTTAGGATGTACTTAACCTTAAAGAAATGCCTTGAGACAATAAACCAATATGGAGTTTTCTTAAAATGAACCAAGGACCTGATTCATTCACGAACAGAACAGGAAGCTCCCAATGGATTTACAAAGAGATGGAAGAATTATTATGGCTTCTTTATTTTTTTCAATTACTTTATTGGGATCATAATGGTTTATAATTATTATGCCCTTTTTATATTCTCATTATTCACCCCCTTCCCCTCCCATTTCTCCTAAGCAGCAGGCAGTGGAGGGGTTCCATGGATCCACTCATTCACACACCCATTCATAGATCCATCCGTCCATTCATCCTCCATCTTTTCATAGGTGATTTGAAATGGCTAGTCAATGGAGGGAATACCAGGGGCCTGATAACATAGAGAATGTAACAGTTTAGCTGAATGCATAAAATGGGTTACACCTTCGCCCTGACTTAGTATATAATAATTATTTAGTTTAGGTGAGTGTAACGTAGAGAATTTTCTAAAAGACTAGATTAAAACAAGTGGAGGAAAAATAACTGGTCTCATTGATAGTTTAATTCTCAAATATAACTTTCATATTTTATAGTTTAACATATTATACAATTTAACATTAAGACCACATTGTTCTGATTACTATCTCAAATCCCCTAATCCTACTAATGCCTATTTCAACGTCCTGGAAATATTATCAAGCATGAGGCAAGAACCAGAGAAAAGGCAGATATCCATCAGGACATAAGCTTCAGCTTAATACTCAGAGGATGGGCTAAGCAGAAAAAGAAGCAAATAGGTTAATCTACTCAGTTTTTCAGAGATAAAGTATTTTTATTCCTCCTAAGAAACTGGACTGTAGCACTTGATTGAAAGGTAATTTGGGGAATGGGAAAAAAAGCGAATGATGGATTAGACCATAAGCTTATTTTATAGGGACTTGCATTATATAAAAACAAAGGTTCATATCTTTTAACTATTAGCTTAAAAATAATTAAAAATTCTCTCTCTACATGAATGTGTGTGTATATTCATATACACACATACATACTTCTCCCTCTTTATTTTAGCTTATAGGAATCTCCCACTTATTTGGAAAAGAAAATGTCTTGTGCAAGCAACGAAGTGGACCCCTTGCTCCAGAACATGTGGGATGGGAATATCTAATAGGGTAACGAATGAAAATGCCAAGTGTGAAATGAGAAAAGAGAAAAGACTGTGTTATATTCAGCCTTGTGACACTAATATATCAAAGACAGTAAAGGTAAAGTTTAATCAGATTTAACTTCATTATGATTCAATAGTAAGAGACTCCTGAAAAGTGTGTGTGTTTTAGAGGGATGGATGGTGCTTGGTTCTTATAAAATCACCTCATTATAACTCTTTTTTTTTTTTTTTTTTTAAAGATTTTTTATTTTTTCCTTTTTCTCCCCAAAGCCCCCCGGTACATAGTTGTGTATTCTTCGTTGTGGGTTCTTCTAGTTGTGGCATGTGGGACGCTGCCTCAGCGTGGTCTGATGAGCAGTGCCATGTCCGCACCCAGGATTCGAACTAACGAAACACTGGGCCGCCTGCAGCGGAGCGCGCGAACTTAACCACTCGGCCACGGGGCCAGCCCCTCATTATAACTCTTAAAGTCAGACTATCTCAGAGGAAAGCAGATAGTAATCTAACCGCACTTTGTGGGAAAACTCTCACCAAGCAGAAGGTAACATTAAGCTGTAGATTCTAGATACTCTGATAGCTTAACAGTGTGGGTCTTGGTCAGCCTGATTTGTTGTGGTCCCCCACCATGTATGTTTTTTAAGAGTAGGTTCTTTTCAGACTCTAACTTCTTTTTCTATATTATGTAGTGGAAACAAAGCAATGGATAAAAGATTTTGGTTGCTATATCATAATTACAGAAACAGACATTATGAACATCAGAGAAGTTCTAATCTTGTTACATATCACCTACTCGGAGAGAGAACCACACCATTTCCAAAATTCTCTGTGCTTAGATAGTAAACTTGCCAGAGGACTATGATAAAATACTTATTCTAAGATTGCTTGGTATAACTAGAGCTAGTCCTACTCCTAGAACTAAGCAAGATGACAGTCTCATGGGCAATTTTTAGAAATGCTACAAAACCCTTCTCATCATCCCCAAGTTATTCCCTATCATATTAGGAAGCTGACAACTCAGTTTTAAAGGGATTAAGGTATTTATTTAATCTATCCTTCTACTCAAAACTGTCTGAGCTATGTTAGGGAATTTGCTGTCTTAAGTAAATAAACATTTAATAAGACAGCCCTTGATATTAAACAAAACAGCAATTTTCATTTATTGTAGAACTAAATGAAGGGTAGACAGCAAAGAACATTTGGGAGTGGGCCCTGTAACACGAGGGAGCAGGAACAGGCAGGACAGAGGGGATTTTAAAGGTAGAAAGGGGAGTGCTGGAAGCCACTAAAGAGCAACTATTAAGGCCCTAGAAATAATTATGTGTGTGTTATAAAATGACCTATATAGTATCACTTTTTTTAACTACTGTAATCAAATTTAAACAGTGACTTCTTAATGTTATGTGTCTTTTCAGATCCCCAAAGGAAAAACGTGCCAACCTACCTTCCAGCTCTCCAAAGCTGAAAAATTCATCTTTTCTGGATGCTCAAGCACTCGGAGCTATAAACCCACTTTCTGTGGAATTTGCTTGGATAAGAGATGTTGTGTCCCTAATAAGTCTAAAATGATTACCGTTCAATTTGATTGCCCAAATGAAGGGTCATTTAAATGGAAGATGCTGTGGATTACATCTTGTGTATGTCAGAGAAGCTGCAGAGATCCAGGAGATATATTTTCTGAGCTTAAGATCCTATAAAACCAAGTGCTTAAGGGAAAAGTTAAGGTTAGTCAATCATGTCGTTACATCAAAAAATTAAAATGGTTTTAAAAGGGTGGCAAATCTGCCTTATTGATTTAAAACAGTAAGAATGCCTAGCTATTCTCAGATGATTGTATTTCAGGCATTAGAAGCTTTTAAAAGGTTCTCCTAAAAATAGTGTAAAACTTGAAAACCTTAAAATTGAACTCTTACTTTAAAATTATCTTATAATTTATGTGATACACAGATATTTGGTTCCATCTACGTTTTCCATATATAATGGAAAATTATACAATTTATAAGAAAACATTTTATTGTAAAATAATTTGGAATACTTTGTTGAAGATGTGTAAAAAGCATATTAAAATTTTAAAACTTTATCTATAATTTGACAGTCTAGCCTAGGTTCCCATCAGAAGATAATCATTATAGGGTGAGAAGATTCTAGATTAAGTCTTAAAAATAGGACTAAGATTAAACCATAAATATATTTATAATTTCCCTTGCCCTTTCCTCAATATGAGTTTATTAAGATTTCTTTTAGAAGGAGAAAACAGAACTTCTTTGGCCACTGTTGACAACTGTAATCTAAAAGTTTTTATACCAAATATTGTAAAAAATTAAATTTCTAAGATAAAGACCAAGAACAGTATCCTTACTTTGAAAAGGAAAGAAACTTAAAAAACATAATACTAGAGAAAGCACACAGCAGATTATTTTGGCTTGAAAATAAACTCTTCCTAAAAATTACTCCCTTAAGTGATCAATCCACACATGGATTTGAAATATAAATTATGACTAAAGATAAATTAATGTTAAAGACAAACTGGAGATCATTGTAACTGTAACACTTTCACTAGACTGTTATAGCCATTGACTCAAAGCTTGGAAGGAGATATCAACCTCAGTAACGATCTGTTGGCTTGTATAAATGGGGATCAGCACAATGACAAAGAGCATTGTTTGAAAATACTGGTATTTATTATTATAAGTTAACTGCTTTCATAAAAAAGCATTATATTTAAAAATAATTTAGTACAAAAGACATGTTAAAATAAATGTAAAGTGTGATTCTTTTGAGTGCAAACAAGTGGTTACACAAAGAAGAAAGAACACCTCCTTAATAGTTAACAATTAACTTAATAACCATCCCTGAAGTTAGTGGATATTACACAGAAATATTTATAATGTGTTCTTATATTCTCTGTATTTACTTTTAAAGAATCATGAGAATTTAAATAGAATATGAAAACATAAATTATAAATAAATATAAAAATATATCTGTACAAGATTTTTATTGAAGACATGATTATCATTGTATAAATAAATGCCTAAACATGAGACTATAAATAAAATAAAATGTTGAAGAATTGTTTGTTTCCTTAATTTTAGAAAAGGGGAAATTTCTAAAGACAAACGTTTGAAGTTAAGACACTAGGACTTCGCTAATTTCACAGACTGGTATCATCAACAAATTGCAATTAAAGGAAAACTACTCTTTTAGACAAAAATACTTTCTAATATGAACGACACAAACTAGGCTTTCTGAATCACAAAAAATCTGAAAAAGAAAGGTAAGGTGACAAAAAGAATGTGAAATTAGGAAAAAGTAAGTGTTGTATTTTCTGGGTTTCTTTTTCACACAGCTACGCTCAGTCTCGGTAAATCTTCCACAGGCATGCTTTTGGTGGCATCCAGCTGGTTATATTCCCGTATGAGTGCTGATAAAGATGACTCAGCTTCTGTGAAACAGCTTTCCTCCATCCCTTCAATTTGCAGATAGTGATGAAGATGAGCCTATAAATGAAAAAACTGGATACTGTTGACCATTTTCAGGAAATTTAATACATATAACTGTCCTATACGTAAATACTCGTTATTAAAATGATAGTTCACTCAGCTTTACAAGAGAAATGGGAACTCAAATCCTATAACTCGTGAGAGCCCTCATTTAGACAGTCTGAGTAAGTCTCTCCAGTTATGATCAGTACAACGAATATAGCAGACAGGATCACCCCTGATTTGTAACAGTGTAATTCTTGAGAATGCATCTTCAATAGCCAAACTAAACATGTATAGTTACAAAGGTGTACTGATAACTACCTTCTTCTTGTAGAGCCTCAGGAATCTCTCTCTCAGTTCCACGAAGGTAGGCTTCACGCATGTGTTATTTGCTAAAGCTAATAACGAATGAGAATGGCCCACAGGAGGTACTGAACACAGGCTGGTTTTCCAGCCTTCTTGATTCCAGGAGACAAACTGTAGAGAAGGTTTTAATCTGCGATACAAAAATCCAAAGGTAAGAATTAAGGTACTAAACATGTCTGCCATATTGTGGCACCCCACATCAGTTAAACTAGGATATACTGATGGTACCATTCTAATTGCTTAGTTTATAATGTAAGTTCTCTATTTTTACTAAGAGCAGTAGCATGGTACAGTCTGACAGTGAACTAAGGGACATTTAGTAGAAGGACATTAGATTGGCTGTGATGGTAATTCAAAAAGCTAGAAACACATGTTGCTTAACATTAAAAATCTGGGGATTGGGGCTGGCCCCATGGCCAAGTGGTTAAGTTCGTGTGCTCTGCTTTGGTGGCCCCGGGGTTTTGCTGGTTCGAATCCTGGGTGTGGACATGGCACTGCTCATCAGGCCACACTGAGGTGGTGTCCCACATGCCACAACTAGAAGGACTCACAACTAAAATATACAACTATGTACTGCGGGGCCGGGGGGGGAGGGGTGGGATTGGGGGAGAAAAAGAAGCAAAAAGAAAAGAAGACTGGCAACGTTGTTAGCTCAGGTGCCAATCTTAAAAAAAAAAACCAACAATCTGGGGATATAAAGAAATGAAGGTCTCATAATTTTCCTATAAAATTCCCTACAATTCCCTATTGTAATTCAATAGAGCAGTTTTCCTAAAAATAGACTGTCAAATAGTAAAACATAAACTTCAAGAAGCAGTGTAGTGGTAATAAAACCAGTAACAATAGTTAAGGTTTCTGAACACTTTGAGAAAATAAAACATCTCCTATCATTTAACACTCGTAAATAACAACTTTGTTCCATGATTATTCTTATTTTACATTTGAGGAAAATAAGGCTCAGAGAGGCTAAGCAGCTTGCTCAAGGTCACACTTTAGTTAAGTGGCAATGGTAGAACTTGCAGAGAGGCCGTCTTAATACTCTGCTACACTGTCGCAAGCAGTACACATAAATTATCTTGAAAAATACACAATCAAACCTTTCAATATTTCTGCGAAGATCTGAGATCTGTACATTTCCTCTAACCATGAGGGCACAGGCAAGGTAGAGACTGTGTTTGGGGTCAGCCCGAATTAGCTGGTGATCTTTACTAAAGGCATCTGAAAACATCTGATCCAACCTACAGCAATGAAAGAGTCACTGTTTATTACATCTTTCTTCTATGTTTAACTTTAAAATGAAAAGACAGTCATCTATAGGTAAATAACCTTCACATACAAATATATTCTAAATTTCGGCTATCATTTTCTCAAAGCAATCTTGAGAAGAGAGGAAATCATGCAATATCCTTTTTATTTTGGAATAGAAATCTTCTGCAATATATTGGTGGTTTCAGGTGGCTATAAAATGTTGACTATATCATTAGTGAGCTCTATGTGGTAGTGATTTCTGACACGTGTCATTAGCACTTAGTTCTGTATCCTTATCTACTTTATAGTATCAGAACTATCAAAACTAATTAAAAGCCTACGACATTAAGATTACTTTGTCTCTGTAAAATATATCATAAATATTCTCAGAAATAACTACGAGGAAACTATCAAAGGACAATGTTAGGCTCTCCTATAAAAGTGGTGTTCCTGAAAGGGGAGACTTAAGTGAACGAAGTCTTTTAACTTCATTCTTTTATCTTTCAGTTAAAGAGAGGACGATAAGGTGACTGACAAAGATAGTATCCAACGATACACAGCCTCCTAGGTCCTTAATATGGCCCCAGCCTGGTTCTTAAATCCCACTTAATTCAAATGTGATTAGGTTCCTGAGCTAAATCTAGCCAGAGCTTGTGTGCTGAATCTGCAGAATGGGAAGAGGTGCAGAATCACACTCGCTGCCTATTCCTTCGAATAGGTATTCACTAAATGCCTACTATGTGCCAGGCACTATTCTAAGTGCAAGAGACTCAGCAGTGAACAACAACAATTTTCCACTCTAGGAGCTTACATTCTACCCTGATTATCTTAGAGCAAGAAGGACAGAGGACTCCCTTAGGGGATGGGGAGCTCTGTGGGATGCATTGATCCTCCGTACTGTGTTCAAAATTTGGGTGTGGATGTGCTTTTGAGCATTTCTGGAATCAATGAAGTCCAGAAAAGGTTAGGAACCACTACACCACAAGTGGGCAAACTCATTCTTGATTTATCTTTCGTCATCAGATGTAAAAACTAGTAAGGAGCTACTTAGAATTATTGGGATCCTTTATTTACATTAGAGATATGGAATTTGAAGAAACATATACATACTTTCACATGTGCTTATTTTCATTTGATAAAAATGGACTAGTTTCAGAACTGACATTTATTAATAAAAGGCACAGCCAAAACCATTCTCACTTGTTTGAAAACTACTAATAAGAAATTAGAGTTTTAAAACTATGCCTTTTAATAGTACAATTTTAAAACAATTCATTATTTACTCAAGGATAAATGTCTTCACATGCTGATATGGCAGCCTTTGAAATATCTACAGTAAAGCAGAAGGAACAAGGAAAAAAAGGGGAAAAACCCCACAAAGACAGAAAGAACATGTGATAAGTTCCTTAAGAGTCTAACATTTCAAAAGTTCCTTATGATTTTCACTAACACATTTTAATTAAAAACAAAACTTCACAACAAATTATGATTATACAAATAAAAAATGTTGACACAGTATTATTTTTATCACCAAGCAGGATTAAAACGAATTTAACTGGTTTTGAACTATTCAGGTTGAAGGACCAAGTCTTTATGCTCAACTTAATTAGAAATTCCATGTCTTTATTTTTAAGAATTAACTTTAAATATAAAAATGTCTGGATTATCACTATTGTACAATAAATACTTTAACACTAATTTACATTCTGTGTCCTCATTAAAGGTGTACATTTTACTTAATATACTAATTTTTAATATGCTGGGCTGATAACAGTGAACATTTAATGAATGATTATCATGTTCCATATACTGTGCAAGTTACTTCACCTGTTAAGGTCATCAGCATCCCACATAGAAAGAGACTCCTATCTATTATTTGGCATAATTGGTTATTTGCTTCTGGCTCAAATAAAAGTTAATCAATATCACTGTGAAATTCCCAGAGTGTAAAACTGTTATCTTGCCCAAACAAATTGTAAAAAATATTTAATTTACTTTTTACTTTAATTACATACTTTCCTCTTACAGAGTCTGACAGGACCTTTTCCTTCAGTCAACTGTGAATGCTAGTGTGAACTCTTCAAGCTCTTCATCACTGTATATGCCAAGATTGTCTTTCAATACATTTTTTGTTAAGTAAACTGATCTAAGTTTTATGCTTAAAAATGACACACAGTTATAAAAGAAGGTGTTCTGGAAATGACATATAATAGCTACCATACAGAGTAACATGTGAAAGTCTTCTATGGTCCTGGGCTGTGACAAGAGCTTTAAATGATACTCTTATTTAATATACCCAACAAGTGTAGGAGGTAGATACTCTGACTCTCACTTACATAGATGAGAAAAACTCAGAGGAGGTGTCACCTGCCCAAAGTGCTGTAGCTTTTAAGTGATAGAATTAGGATTCAGACTTAAGTCTGTCAGACTTCAAAGCCCTTAAATCTATTTCAGTAAAAATTGTCTTTATTAATTTTCATAAGCTTAAAAATTTCGTTATTAGATTTAATTTCAAATAGTTTAATATGACATTTTAAAACAATGACTTCTAATTAAAGATGCATTCATATAATGGAAAAATGGCTGTCATCAACTGTATTTTATATACTTCTCACAAAGAAATGATATTAAGTAGAGTTATTATAAACTTTTTTCTTAAAAATTCGAGTTCTCAAGTAATTAGAATAAAGTTACTACATCTTACCTTCGAGGAGGAACGTTAACATCTGCCAGTGTATATAGGGGTGTTAAACTTGACACAAGATAATGCAGTTGAGGAAAAGGAACTAAATTCATGCTGATTTCATTAAGGTCCATATTAAGGGACCCTTCAAATCTCGCAGAGCTAAAAAATTAACATTAAAGCATGAGAAAAACATTTAATTTAAAAATTCTATACTTTGAACATAGCTTGATTTATTCCACAGCATTTTCTTAAATCCTTTCATACACGGCTCTTCAATAGAGAATATATGATCTCTTTCTCTGTATCAGTGAAATTTAGAATCATGAACATCTTGTACAAAGATAATTAAAATACAACACACATCTACGGCAGTTCTTATTTCTGAATTATCTAAAGTGCAACCAACACACTATTACAGTTGCTCATTACATATATAAAAATATCTTACTTAAAACAGACTTTAGATTGAGTTAAACACATATAAGTCCATAATTACTTAATTATTCTATAGACTTCACTAAATTCTTCACGGGCCTGTTTAATACACTCTATTATTTGGGATATAATAATGTCCAAGCGATCTTTTAGATCAAAGTTAAGGAAATATTTTAGACCAGCTAATGAGGAGGTATAGATTAGCTGGTTTAAAAGATTAAGACATTCTACAGCAAAAAAATATTTTTACTTTTGTCCAAGTGTTTCTCAAGTGTATCTACCATAAAACCTTTTATCACTTAACATCTATTAATATTGCATGGGAAATGCTGCTTTGGAGCCATAGAAATTAAAATTCTGGTCTATCACTCCAAGATCTGAAAACACTAGACAAAATGAAATAAAAACTAACAAAGCTTCTACAACTTATAATAACAAGAAAATGCTACTACAAAAATGCTACTGCGAAACATCGTCAGTGAACTGTTAGACTGTCCTCAGGTACACCACCAATAGGATTACCTTGTTAGGCTGAGCAGCAGATTTGCCACAATGTTGTTCATTGCATCAAAAGGCTTCTCTTGCCACTTTTTAAAAGTCCCAGCACTTGAAGTAACCAGACTCTTTGGCTTTATAGTTGTACCCAACTTTCCAGAATTCACCACGAGGTCAATTTTGCTAATGATGTCAAATAAAGACTTTTAAGGGAAAAATATTGGGAGAGAAGCTATTAAGAAGAGTGGACATAGATGCCATTCTACTAGGAAGGAAAGAAGAGAAAGAAAACAGCTGAAAAGTGAAGAGAATGTTTCACATAAGCACATAAACATAACACAAGATTGAAGGTATATAAAATATGTCCATAAAGTACAATGTCATTTCTTACTTGGTTGTCAATGGGCAACACACAGTCTGCATGCTCATTAAGTTCCTTCATTGCCAAGATACTATTATAAGGTGAGGTTATGACATCATCCTCACCAGAAGGATAAACTGAAGTCACAAATCTGTATACTTCTGGGAATTCATCCTCAAGCACCTTTAAAAGATATGTGCCAAGTCCAGATCCTGTTCCTGAGGATTAAAATTTCAAAAAGAAAATAGCATAAATGCTTCAGAATATAATTGTGAAGAATTTGGAATTTTATGATTTATTTGTAGAAATATATATTAAAGACTTAAAATTTTCAACTTATTCCTGTGATTTTATATTAACTAATCTAATTTCAGATAGGAAATGAAGACAACATGGGTAGCGAGGTGTAAGCTTCTGAATTCCATCTCTGGCTCTGACCATGTGGTTGGAAAGTCTTTTTATATTTCACTCTTTTCACATCTAAATTATATCTATATGATGCCAAAGAAATGACTGAGGAGTGAAAAATTCAACTAAGACAGTATTCAGTCTATATTTGATGTTAAGAACTTAAAAAAACTATCTTGACATCTTTAGTGTAGTATATATATAATTTAATGATGAAGAACACTATCATGACGTTAAGCAACTTATACACTGAGCTAAAACTGTCTAAAATTAAGCATGAGCACCTTGAATTCACAAAATTTTCAAAGATGAAACTATTTTACTATTAAAAAGCAGAAGCTCTAGGAATCTCATTAAGTTTGTAGCACATAGATTTACATTTATATAAATTCAGAAATTTTTAAGAACAGAGAAAAATGCAATCCTCTAAATTGGTGTTTTTCAAACTATGCATTATGAACCATTAGGGGCTATGAAACTAACTTCTTAGATTAGGACCAGAGTTTTCTTTTCTCAAACGAAACAGTAGAAATATCAATGTGTCATATGTGGGTTAAGTAATAATTTCTGAATCTTTTGTTTCAATTTGTGTATGTGTTGGGTTGATATAATATGTATTTCTTGCTCTTCAGGTTAAAAAAAAGTTTAAAAGTCAATGCTCTAACCCAGGGAGATAAATATTAAAGGCTACAATGTCAAAAATACTAGATGAGGGGCTGGCCTGGTGGTGCAGCGGTTAAGTTCGTACATTCTGCTTCAGCAGCCCTGGGTTTGCCGGTTGGGATCCCCAGTGCTGACCTATGCACCGCTTGTCAAGCCATGCTGTAGCAGGCATCCCACATATAAAGTAAAGGAAGATGGGCATGGATCTTAGCTAAGGACCAGTCTTTCTCAGCAAGAAGAGGAGGATTGGCGGCAGACGTTAGCTCAGGGCTAATCTTCCTCAAAAAACAAATACTAGATGAAAGAAAGGGAGATTTTTTTGTTAATCTTTAATGAGAAGGACTTTCTAAGTATCATAAAAAACCAGAGCCATTATAGAAAAGACAGTTTTGACTCCATTAAAAATAAACAAAACTCCTCTATTTAAAAAACCCATAAAATAAAAAGGCAAACTAAGAGAAAATCTTCAACACATATGATGGAAGATTAAATTTCTTTAATAAAGAAGCCTCAGAGCCAGTCGTGATGGCCTATGGGTTAAAGTTCAGTGTCCTCCACTTCAGTGGCCCAGGTTTGGTTCCCGGGCACAGAACCACACTACCTGTCTGTCAGTAGCCATGCTGTGGTGGTGGCTCACATAGAAGAACTAGAAGGACTTACCACTAGAATATCCAACTATGCACTGGGGCTTTGGGGAATAAAAAAAGAGAGGAAGTTTGGCAACAGATGTTAGCTCAGGGTGAATCTTTCCCAGAAAAAAAAGAAAAAAGAGAAGCTCAAAAATTATTTAAAAAAAAAAAGTCTCACAAATCAACCACCAGGAAAATATGAATAATGCAATAGAAAAACGGGCAAAGGGTATAAAAATGAAACTCAAAACAAATCAAATGGCAAATAGATGTGAAGATGCTCAACATTTCTTCTAAGTAATGCAAATTAAAACAATATAATTTTGAACATACCAGACAGATTTGTGTCTCATAATACTCAGCATTGGTGACAGTGGGGGAAAATGGCAACTCTCATACATCGTTGCTAATAATATGGATTGGTGCAATAATGGAGAAAGGTATATCAGCAATATCAATCAAAATTTAAAATGTACATATTCTTTAGTCTCACTTTTCTTTCTAGGGATATTGTCTACACCTGTAGTGGCACAAATGAACACAGATGTATGTACCAGATGTTTACTAGGGATTGTTTGTTATAACTAAACACTATAAACAATTTAAAATCCATCAATGAGGGACTGATTTTAAAAATTATTGTATATTCACACAATTGAATTCTATGAGACAGAGCTAATATTGAAAGACATTCAGGAAAGAGATAAAGTGAAAACACTACAGAATACTATGTATTGCATGATCAGGTTATGTAAAAATATACACACTCACTTTTTTTTTTTTCTTGCTGAGGAAGATTCATCCTGAGCTAACATCTGTGCCAATCTCTATTTTGTATGGGGGTCACCACCACAGCATGGCCACTGATGAGTGCTGTAGGTCGACGCCGAGGAACTGAACCCAGGCTGCTGAAGCAGAGCATGCCAAACTTAACCACTAGGCCATGGGGCTGGCCCCTATACATACCCACTTTTAACAGGCATAGAAAATATCTGGAAGGATAGACATAAAAACACTGCAAATTTGATTCATGTGAAGAGACGGACTCGGATTAGATATGGGAAAGGAGACTTTCACTATTTAAATTATTTTTTACCATTTTCAGTGAATTATGAATAAAGTATTTATCTTCTGAGATAGAGTAATAGAGGGATTAAAAAAAGGCACCAAAATGAACTATAAATCAAATGGTTTTCTTTTGAAAACTTAATCAAACTTGCAGGTTAATTATACTAGTACAAAGAAAATTGGCTTCTTAATTAAATGATTAGGATGGTCTTCAAAAGGCATGGTTACAGAGCAATTATAACTTTAATTTTAAAATGCTATCGTATGAAATAATAGATATGTATAAAAAGTCAATTGTATATAACCTGCTGAGTATAAAATCTTAATCATAAGGGCCGGCCCGGTGGCGCAGCAGTTAAGCGCACACGTTCCACTTTGGCGGCCCGGGTTCACTGGTTCAGATCCCGGGTGTGGATATGGCACCGCTTGGCAAGCCATGCTGTGGCAGGCGTCCCACATATAAAGGAGAGGAAGATGGGCACAGATGTTAGCTCAGGGCCAGCGTTCCTCAGCAAAAAGAGGAGGACTGGCAGTAGTTAGCTCAGGGCTAATCTTCCTCAAAACAAAAAAAACAAAAAAAACAAAAAAACTTAATCTTAACTTGGAGAAAAAAAATGTGGTAAATTTTTCTTTCAAAATTGGCTAATCCTGGGGCTGGCTGGTAGTGTAGTAGTTAAGTTCACGTGCTGCGCTCTGGTGGCCCAGGGTATGTGGGTTCAGATCTCAGGTAGGAACCTACATACGGCTCATCAAGCTAGGCTGTGGAAGCATCCCACATACAAAATGGAGGACGACTGGCACAGATATTAGCTCAGGGCCAATCTTCCTCACCAAAATAATAGGAGTAGTAATAATAATAATAATAATAATAATAAAATACAATAAAATTGGCTAATCCTATTTTGAAATTAGCAAATTATCATCTGTTTCTATTTCATGGAACAGGGGAGCAAAATACTTTACTTGCAAGGTACAGGCTTCCCTGGGGAAAGAAAGCAATGCAGATCACTTATTCTAGGTCAAGGTGACGCATTACCACATAAGGCATGATTTAAAGGAATTGACTGAAAAGACTTCTTTTACTTTTTTCACTTGTTGGAGACAAGAAAGGTTTGAAGGTGGTTAAAGAACATACCCATTCTGATATTCTTTGGCAAGCATCACGTGAACATGCTAGAAATACTTAGCTCTTCTTAGGATATGGGACTGCACAAGCAAACTCTCACAACAAGTGTCAAAATTCCCAAAAAACTCATATGTACTGAAACGCAGCTGGAAATTTTAAAAAAGAAACTAAAGGTAGGAGAAAATAAACTGTCAGATTCAGTTCTACTGACTCTTAAAAGGGCTTCAATAAAAAATAATTGGTTAATAGCGACAATTTGACAAAAATTCAAGATAAAAAAGCGGTTATGTACATATATTCATAAACACACACTCTTAACAGTTCTATCTTTATCAAGCACAGGTCTGAAAATAAGACTTATGCTTGAAAAATGAATTCCCACTTGCACTTTCACGCTGTTATAGGCAAACAAGTGAATAACTTTACCTCCTCCCATGGAATGTATTACAAAAAAACACTGCAAACAATCACAGTGCTCTGCCGACTTTCTAAGTTTCTCTAAAATCTCTTCTTGATAACGACTGCCAAAAACTTTGTGACCCACAGCCCTGAAAATAAGAATATAGATTAAAAAAAATCTATGCATCTATTTCAAGATTTTATTATTTCTGGTCTAAATAAAAAGATTATAGAAAAGCTTTAGAAAGTATTTTTACTGTAATTAAGTAAATTCGATTTTTGTTTCATGTCAATAAAGCATATTATGATATGCCAAAAATACAAGGTAGAAAATATAATAAACATTATATATCTATAATCCTCAAATATCCTGATAAGATAGCTCATTATCATATTAAACTATGGTTTTCTAAATTTACCTTCTCTTAAGGTATAATTACAACAACACAAGATTTTATACATAGTTTTTTCTCATCTCCATTTAAAGTAAACTGTGACTGCAGTGAATTTTACACATCAAGCAGAATGTGGTCAACTAGAAAGACATTAAAAATTTTTAAACTAACCTATTTTGGTTTAAAATATGAGAAAACACACACATTATTACTAGATGATATGGCACACAGTAGAAAACTGATATTCATGGGCTCTGTAAACCTTTTGGCTGACCAAATTTGCAAGTATCACTATGATGTATTAAAATATAAGAATGATTTCCCCACACACAGTCAGATGTAACTCAAAAGTTTCAGAATAAGTTATACAGCAATTGGAGAAAAGCGAGATAGGTGATCAGATGGGCTCACTTATTAAGTGACTAGTTCTCCCCAAATGAGTCTGAGAACACAAGATTCAAATTCATGCTTCAGTATAATTATATATCACTACGCATTATGAACGTGAGGGATTGGCTGCAAATAGTTAAAATAATGAATATTAGATTTGCAAATAACAAGGAGCTACTTAGTTTTTAAAAAACAAAAACAGTCTCAATGTAAATTTTTAAATGATCATTGCTGGAGCTTTTCTCCCATTGGGAAGAGACCATTTATATATACATAAGGGCCAAACACGGCCTCAGGCTGAACTTGATGCTGGGACGCTGGTCTGGCTTGCATCTCTGTATCAATTCCATTAAATCTGAATAACTGAAAAACTTGATAGAGTCAAATAAAATATGTGACAGAGTTTATAAAATACTTAAAACTTTCATCACTATTTATTATTATGCAAGATCAATTAACAACAAGGAATTCAGCAAATCAATTTTTCATGATTCATTTTTTCCTTTTTTAAGAAAACGGAAAGAACTAGGAAACAGGTGGCTTCTGAGCATTGTGAAACACCATCATTTATCAAGGAAAAGATGATGGGCTGAAAGGCGTAGAGTTAGGTATGGCAAGTTACTCTTCACTTTCTTGTCAGTAGGACCTATTAGAATGAAAGAAAACTAGCTTATTTTTTCAGATGACATTCAATTTCTTTTTTTGCTGGGAAAGATTCGCCCTGAGTTAACACATTCCGAATCTTCCTCTCCTTTTTTTCCCCCTCCCCAAATCCCCAGTGCATAGTTGTATATTCTAGTTGTAAGTGCTTCTAGTTCTTCTATGTGAGCTGCCACCACAGCATGGCCACTGACAGATGAGTCGTGTGGCTCTCTGCCCAGGAACTGAACTCGGGCTGCTGAAGTGGAGCCTGCCAAACTTTCACCACTAGGCCACCAGGGCTGTGGCTTGACAGTCAAGTTTTCTGTTCAGCATGTCCTCACCAATTATTCCCCGAACCAGAAATATCAGTGATGAGCTGCTTGCTGTCAAATACATCTCTCAATGGTCCCTGCAGAATTTCATTTACTACTCCTTCCTCCATGTCAATCAAGACAGCCTGAGAAAGAGAAAGAAACCTTAATTAGCATACTTTTCTGTAGAATTCGTCACTCTGTAAATGAAAAGAATTTATGAGCTAGGGTTGCATTGTTCTTTTTATAGTTTAAGCTTAATCAAATCTTTATGTAGAATCTATTGTAAGAATTAAAAAATAATTTCACCCTGCGTGAAAGGTGGAATCCAATTAAAGATGGATTCAAAACTCTTATCCTATTCCAAAGTACCAAGTGGGGAAAAAAAGGAACGGAATAATCCCCTCAACTGATTTTCTAACAGTTGTTTTATTCATGTGCCTATGTGACTATAAATTTCTTGAGAACAAGATCTCAGAAACCTAGAAGGTAACCTTAACCAGAAAAAATTCTCAATAAATGTAGCATGCATGAATGCATTTGCTCACTAGGAACAACCATGCTGCTCTCTATGAATCAGTTAAAAATTGTCCAATTCAAATCAGTAAGCTTCCTATTATGTGCCAAGTGAAGGCACTGGATAGATGTCAAAGATGATAACAGGGTCCCTCCTCCCAAGTAACTCACCATCTAATTCATTACTACAAATTTTACTGACATGGGAGATAGCCTCTATTACTGATAAGAGAATGAGAATATAAAACATGAAATTAACTATGGAAAGAAAAACGGAAAAGACTGCAAGGAAATATAGCAAAATGTAAGCAGGGATAGCTTGGCAGTAGGATTATATGCCCTTATCCCCACTGTCTTGTCCTTTATTTCCCATATTTTCTACAAGGAGGAAGAAGAGTGAAAAAGTAAAATAAATAGTTAAATAGATAAGAAAAGCAAAGCTGAAAAACATATTCTGAATTAACCTCAGAGTCCATTATAAAGCTATTAACTCTTTGATTCAGTGTCACACAAGTGCTTGGTTTATGGGCTTTTTCAGATCTTGTGACCACGTAACGCTAAGCACCTACATGCCACTGTTCTAAGTACTTTACATGTATCACCCCATTTAATCCTCACAACCCTACGCAGAGGTACTATAATTATCCTCACTTCACACATGAGGCAACTGAGGCCTAGAAAAGTTAAATAACTTGGCTGTGATCACCCAGCTAGAAAGTGGTGCAGCTGAGATTCAAACCTGGCTAGCCTGGCTGCAGACTCTTCATTCTTAACCACCAAACTACACTCTATCTTATCGAAGGGAGACAGTCAAGTTTGATATCTACAGAGTACTGACTACAGTGGAGTTATAATTTATGCCCATTTAAACTTTGTGAATTCAACTATTTGTGTAGTTGATTAACAGTGTTACTGTAAGCCGGCAGTTAAAATAGTTTTATTACACAGTGTATTAAGAATATTATATTACTAATTATATAATAATATACCTCCCAGTATATAGGTATATTATAGAAGTATCTTAGAAAGACTACAAAATTATGTTTTACAAATGTGCTCCTTTATATACAGAAATCAATATACATGCACTTTAACAGACACAGGACTATATAGGGTTATTTACTGGCAATTTTAGGGATTTTCAAGGATATTTCTGATAACATGCAATTTTTACCTTAAAGGCCAATTTTAACACCTAATCAACCACATAAAGATTACAAAAAGAAAAAATTAGCTTATACTGGCCTTGTTCCAAAACAGATTTACTGAGATAACTTGTGGAAGATTAAGCCATACCCTCAATTATCCTGCAATCTGGCAAAGGGAGCGACATGCAGAATACAAACTGACAAGCACCTCCTGAAGTCAGTTTTGATAGAATCATAACTGTCACAGTCACTTAGCATTAAAACTCTGACACAGTATATAGCTCTTCCAATCTTCCCTAGTCACATCAGGGCTTTGATGTTTTCCCCTTGGAAATTCATTAAAATTAAGAGGAATTATTCTGGGTCCTTTACTTAGCCGTCCAAGGCCTGGAGTCACAATGGTTCCAGGATTTGATGCTTATTTTTCTTCCAGAGCCACCTGGTGATAGCTTTCTGGCCTTTGGGCTTTCCCTTAATTGTAATATAGGATTTACAAAATTCTCAGTAATTGCCTGTTAACGTTAAGATACTGGGCATGGTGGAGGGACCCAACCACCAAGTTACGTGAAGCCTAGACTCTTCAGTAATCACAGCCACATAACACCAAGACTCCAACGGAGTCTTCCAGGACAAAAGTCAAAGGCTACAGAAGCACGGTGATTTATTCTTTCCCAGTAGGGTTTCCACCCCCTCCCACCTGGCTCGCTGATATGGTGGTGGGAAAGAGCTCAAATTGGGAGTGGCCTAGGAAATGTCAACGTTTGTTTTTCTCTCTCCGAGTAAGATTTGGATTGGGAGGTCAGCGCTCTCCATGGCATGGAGTATACCAAGTGTTCATCAATTAACCTAACAGGCTGCAAGCACATGGTCTCTGCTCTGAATTTTGTTTCCCAAGGACATCAGAGACCACAGATCCAAGGAGATGGTTCCCAGGTACCACAACACTATTGCTTTCCACTCTTACGGCCACTACTCCGGGTCTGATACTTATCGTCTCAATTACTTCCACAGCATTTAAATGCCTTTCTTTTTTGTTATAGTCAAAGATTATTGATCAACAGTTGGAAAAAGCAGTTTGTTGGAGAAACCACTACTGAAGAGAAGCTTCCTGGAATGAGAGTAAGACCAAATATGGGCTGTTGACTCAAAGTACTTTTGTTCAGGAGGCCTTACATGCTTAGGCTATTTATTCATTATAATGCTGCTGGATCCACCCTCTATTGGGAGTAGTAACTCTGATGCAAATAAATCTTCCAACAAAAAACTAATTTGCATTAGGATGTACTTCAGGCTTAGAGTTGAGAAAGCTTCTTTTGTTATCATTTGTCTAGATGTGTATTTCTCCTGAAACATTTAGGAAAAAATGCTAACTATGCAGGTTTTTTTACTTTAAGCACAAAATTTTCCTCCCAAAGTTTCAGGCAGACACAAATGTCTGCTTAATTATATTCAGATTAAATGTGGTTTAGTAAACACTTTTTTTTAATTTGAGAAGTTGAAATTTTATTCTCATGATAGGTACAGAAGTATAGTTATTTTAAAAACACATGCAATGTTAAGAATCCAAGTGTATATCTCTTACTCGTGCTTTTAAAGAACAAATTTTCCCCTTGGAAATACTGCCACCATCACCGACCACTCTGAAAGATAAAAAATAAGAAAAGGTCCTAAGATCTTCTATAGCTAATAGTGCTATCGGGTAATAAAGTTAACTTCCATTTGGCTAGATATAGGCCAGGGGAGGCACACACAAAAGGCAACGAAGAAGGAGCCATTCCTAATCTCCTTCTCCTTTGTCTACCTCCCATTGGGCTGAAGAAGCAGGTACTTATTCCCCGGCTTTCTTTGTAGTTAGGGCTGGCCATGTAATCCAGTTCTGACTAATGAGATAAAAGGTATTCTGGGAAGCTTTTCTGATAAAAACCATCAGACGCAGTTGGTGCCCATGTGATTCCTGGAGTGGAGGCTGCCAGCTTATAGTTTACCTTTGCTTATTACCTTTATTGCTTAAGCCACCATTAATGCGGTCTCCTGTTGCAGCCCAACACATCAACTGATATACCAGTTATACACCAGAGTATCTAAGGCTGTTCCTAGAATTTCATGTTTAACATAAGCTACCAAAGTAAATAAATCTATGATCAAACACAGTGTAGAAGTCAATATAGTTTATAAGAAGACAGAACATATGAAGGGAAGCTGAACTGAGCACAGATGATGCTACAGGTCAGGGGTTGGTAAACTATAGTCCTCGGGCCAAATCTCACCAGCTGCTTGTTTTCCTAAATAAAGTTTTATTTGAACATAACAACATCCATTTGTTTACATACTATCTATACCTGCATTCATGCTACAATGGCAGAGTTGAGTAGATGTGACACAGACCTTATGGTCTGCAAAACCTAAAATATTTATCATCTGGCCTTTACAGGAAAGGTCTGCCCACCCCTGTTACAGGCAAATTCCTATCATGTTATTAAAAAGGTGTGATCATTTCCTCAAATAGATACAGAAGCGTACACAAAGATGTGGTCTTGTTTTTGACAAAGATTTTTTGTACTAACTGTGGAACAGATGCTACATGTGTTGATAGCACATGGAAAGAAGAGCAAGATACCAAGCCTCTTCTCCCCAAACTCGATACTGGGGAAATAAGAATGCTCTCAGGTTAAATTATAAAACAGAGTAGATGAGAATATAGTTGTGTAAAGTCACCTTATTAAGAGAGAATTGCTCCCAGGCTGAGTCTCCACTATATAATACTCAGTGAAAGGATTGGCCATCACCAATAGAGGGGATGGGAGTAGGAACTTAGTTAGAAGGGAAGCACCTAAAAGAAGTATTAAATAGCAAATATGAGTCTCTTAATAGTATTTAGGGGACAGGATGTTCTAGTTCACAAACAAGATGGAATCTAGTCTATATGACATATCTTCATCAAATAAAGATAAATGACACCAGTCATTAAGGTAACACACCAAACTTCCCTTGGTCTGATTCTATAGTCACCAAGAAACTATCTATCACTGAGTTGTTGGGTAGATTTCCTACAGAAAAGAATGTGCTTTTGAAGGGAAATGAGTATGTAGTCTTCTTGAGTTACAGTTCCTACTATCGATTACTACATTGACTGTTTTTAAATCTCCCATTCTCCTTGAGTTTGGTTTATCTGCTTGTACTGGAGAGTAGTGGACCCATTCTCAAACTATCAACAAGGTTTCTGAGTCTGCAAGCCCGAGGGTTAGACTCTGGAATTTACCAAGGATTTGGGGACAAATTAGCCTTCCCTAGGAGATAACTGCCTCAAATACCCAGCTAACTAATTCAAACTAGAACTGGAATTTTTAGTGAATTAGATTAAAGCTGGATATCAAGTATATATTTTTCAGCTCATGCCCCTCCAGTTTAGTTTTATTATGTATTTTGAAAGTGCATGAACTTAATGATTTAACTTTAAAAGCTTATGGACATACCCTGAAAGCCAAATTACTCTTTCAGGTAGAAGACATATACATACATATACTCTTTATTAAATAAACAAAAGTAATCTAATCTGACAACTGCCTTTCTCCTTTTTAGCACATTCACTGCATACAGCAAATATTCCTGACCACAAATAATATCAGAGAAACGTAAACAATATATTTTTTCTTTCAAAAGTTAGCCATTACTGAATACGTTAACAAGATACCCTGAGGGAAACCTTTAGCATTCCTTTAGTGAAACTTTATTTCAAGGTCAAGTTAAATGAAGGCATACTAAAGGTTCTTTCTGTTCTTTAATATGGCCTTAAAAGGAAACCTGTAATGCTCTGCAGAATGATATGAGAATATTAAAGATATGAGAATAAATATGCTTTCAATAACGAGAAAAACAAACAAACAAAAAGCTAGACAACTTCTTTACAGTAATCAGCTGTTTTTATTGTCCTTTGAAGAATTCTCTCCCAACCTACTGACATGAAAAGAATCATTACGCTATATGACAGACTTTAATCCCATCTTACCTGGTATCCACATTTCTAAAGAAGCTGCTTATTGCCTCATCATAAATTCCTTTCTAAAACAAGAAAAAATATATTTATAGCATTTGATTAAGTTTTTCCTCTTTCTCAAATAAAGTCTTCTCAATTTAATAATCCCACAATACTGTAATGTCTGGTATGTGGCTATGAGAAGAAAAAGCACATTATCGTAAAATGCTTAGACTGATTCTTCCAATCTAGCGAACAGTAAGCAGGCATCTATGGATTCAGTTCAGCAGAGAAGGCTGAAGGACGGACTCCCCCTAGGCTTGGAGAACAGGTGTAACACATGAAAGCTTTCTCTGGATTCTTGGTGATCACTTTAAAAGCTGATGGTTAAATTAAGGAATATAATACCACACGTGTGACCTATTTTACAAAGTACTTTCACATACGCTATCTCATCGCTCTTCACAAGAACCCTGATAAAGAGGAGACTGAGCATTACGGAAACTTAAGACTAAGGTTTCTGGCCAGTGTTCCTAATGCCAACATACTTTTAAAAACAGTTTGTTCTTCAAATAGTAACAAATGTTGGAGAGGTTGTGGAGAAAAAGGAACCCTCATACACTGCTGGTGGGAATGCAAACTGGTGCAGCCACTATGGAAAACAGTATGGAGATTCCTCAAAAAACTAAAAATAGAACTGCCATATGATCCAGCCATTCCACTACTGGGTATTTATCCAAAGAGCTTGAAGTCAGCAATTCCAAAAGTCCCATGCACCCCAATGTTTACTGCAGCATTATTTACAATAGCCAAGACGTGGAAGCAACCTAAGTGTCCATCAACAGATGACTGGATAAAGAAGATGTGGTATATATATATACAACGGAATACTACTCAGCCATAAAAAAGAACAAAATCATCCCATTTGCAACAACATGGATGGACCTTGAGGGAATTATGATAAGTGAAATAAGCCAGATAGAGAAGGACAATCTCTGTATGACTCCACTCATATGAGGAACTTAAACATGTGGACAAAGAGAACAGATTAGTGGCTACCAGGGGAAAGGGGGGTGGAGGTGGGCACAAAGGGTGAAGGGATGCACCTACAACACGACTGACAGACAATAATGTACAACTGAAATTTCACAAGATTGTAACCTATCATTAACTCAATAAAAAATTTAAAAAACCAAACAAAAAAACAAAACAGTTTGTTCTTTAATGACAAGATCCCATACAACTTATATCAGTTAGATAAAAGCTCAACTAAAGTAATTCTTGCTTATCTGTTGGAAGCGCCTCGGTGACGGGCGAGGGGGCTCCCCGGGCGGGGCCGGTACCTGGTTGACCGCGGCGTGCTCCCTCAGCGCCAGGTCCCAGAAGCAGCAGCCTATCTGGTTTCCGCACTGGCCGACTGCGATCAAGGAGAGGAAGGAAGGAGAGCGGACATTAGGCGGCAAACAAGGCCGCTCGGCTCCGCGGAGACCGGGTCCCCACCCTGCCGGTGCAGCTTACCCTGTACGATCACCGACTGGGTCATGCTGCAGCGCTGCCCGCTCAGCGCACTTAGGAACCCGCGCCGCCTTTGTATTCCCCGGGCGCACGAACGGAGCTCTCCGAGGGGGCGGGGCGACCGTAAGTCACGCCGCTGCCGTAAGTCGCTGCCGTAGCTAAGCACTTCTCCAGGTTCAGGGAACAATTTTCCGTCACATGGCTGCGCAAGCGCACTGCGTCTCACGGTTACCATAGCGCCTGGTCCTTCGGACCGCAGATCCTCGCTGCCTTGTCAACATCTTTGAGCAGCTCCGGAGGCCGGGGTAACTGGCGGGTAACTAGGCTTTGGAGTGGGGTTTTAAAACATGCGTCTTTAAGACTGTTCATGGGCTATCAGAGACTTAGACTTCTTTCACAGTCTCAACATCCTGGGCGGTGGGTCAAAATCCGTTTATTCACGTTCCTCGGGACCCAGCGTTAGGATCTCTGTCCAACAAGCCCTTTGTTCTAATAGAAAGCGAACATTGTCGATGGGCACAAAGAAACTCTAGACAAATAAACGGTGTCAGGGCACAACCGAAACTATGGAGTTCTGCCCGTTGACAAGGGTGGCGCTTCAGAGACTCAACCAGTCTTTGTTGAACACTGTGTGCTCCCAACATTAACTTTTAGGTCCTCTGGAGGATTCAGAAGAAATTAAGACATGGATCCAGCTCCAAGAAGCGTACAACCTAATTGAAGACACACACGAAATACTAAAAAGAGTGTGACTTACAATATTGTGTGGCGCTAACTATAAGTGCAATAGGATTCAGTGGATGTGGATGTAGACCAATAGAAGTCTGATGGAAGATGTGGGATTAAAATTAGGCATTTGATGTATGTATAGTGTTTAGATGGAAGAAAGGAGAAGATTGAAAAATCAGGCTTTTTTGAAAATTACCAACTCCTTAAAATTGCCAAAAATTGAAAAATACTGTAAACTCATTGATCAATTTAGACTGCATTTCAGTTAAGAACTCAAGCACTCCTTTAATGAAAATTAGTATGTTCCCCCAAAATTCTGAGGAACTACAAAATCTTAGAAAGACTTCCTTTTTTTAAAAAGTCATATGTGCTGTTAGTGTGTGGTAATATGAACTGCAATATTCGATGGATTGGAACACATCCCCCCACCAAGACAAATAGTTGCCACTGCATTTCTGATAGCTGGTTAAGTTTGAAGTTGCAATGGGTGGTTTATGGTGCTGAAGCTTTCTTGCATTTCCATTTGCATGTTTTTCATCTTAGTACTTATATCTCTTAAGATTAATAGGGAAATTTTAATCAAAAATTTTTGCACTTGCTGGATTTTACTCTTTACTGTGTATTGGTTAGCATGGTGTCAGTTTACCTCCAACACTTCACTTCAGGTCTTGATGTTGAAGTCCCAAAGTCTGGGGCTTCCAAAATTTGCAAAGCTTCGTCCAGTTCATAGGCAGTGATGTGAGCAGATCTGCATCAGTGAGCTATGGTGCCAGCTCGTCTCATGTTCTGGCTTCTGCAGAGTGATACCCCCCATGCTGTAATTAGGTCCCAGACATTATTTCCCAGGAGTCATACATGGGAACAAAGTCAAATTAAGAAAGGCCTAACAAATCTTAATAACTTCAGTCTGGAGAGAATCAGACTGAGAGGCAATTCTGCTTAAGAGTCAAAGTAGAGGGGCTGGCCCTGTGGCGTAGTAGTTAAATTTGGCATGTGCTCCACTTCAGCAGCCCCAGTTCATGGGTTTGGATCCTGGGTGCGGACCTACACCACTTGTCAACCATGGTGAGGCAGCGACCCACTTATAAAGTGGAGGAAGATTGGCACAGATGTTAGCTCAGGGCCAATCTTCCTCAGAGGAAAAAAAAAAACCGTCAAGGTAGAACCTTACATACTGGCCACTTCAGGACATCAACAGAGGCAGGAGAACTTTTTAGAGTTTATATTTTCCAAGAGACCACATTGAAGTCATAAATCTGAGCATATCCTGGAGTTGAATGCACTCATAATTAGATGGACTGAGACCTCATGTGAGATTTTCAACAAACTCTCAGAAGAGCAAGCAGAACCCAGACCATCCTGGAAAGCTGCACATAGCCCTAATGGCATTCTCTCTAATATACCTCCACTGATACAAACACAATGAAAAAGAAAATGTGACTTACCTTTCAAAGTCTAGGTATAAGTGGAAGAATAGGTTTCAGATAAGTAGGAAAGAAGTCAAGAAGAATTTACCCACGTAATAGCGGAGTATGGTAGATTGGATTATTATTCTGGATTCTTCACTCTCTCCCTCCACACATGGCTGTGCAGTACTTCCTGGTCTAGTAGAGTAGGCAGAGTATACATCTTTGCCCCATTGATGCTGGGCTTGGTCATGTGGCTTGTCTTGGCCAATGGAATGATGTTAGGTGTGAAACAAGCAGGGGTTTTAGATATGCTTGCATGCTTTTGCCTCTTGGACTTTGCTGTTTTTCCTGAGAAAACCTGCCTCAGGTGGCTGCTCTTCCCAAAATAATGAAGCCTTGTGGACAGATCTGAATCTGAATCTCAATCGAAATGTGGAGTCTTGCTGCTCCTAGTCAAACCCAGGTGAGGCAAGTGGAGATCAGATGAAAAGCAGGCTATCCACAGTCTTAAGAGTGAGAAAAACGTTTGTGGTTGAAGCTGCTGAGATTTGGGGTGCAATAGTATTGGAGCAATAGCTGACTAACATACCAAGCTAATGTATTGGACAGAATTTCATATATTAAATATGAGCAAGAGAAAAAAATCATTGAGAATCATGCAGACTACTACTGTAAAAGGATGTAAGGAGAATAGCATGCAAAAGATGGATGAAGTACATGACCTGGCTAAAGCCTAACCTAAGAGGAAAAAGAGAAAATCCATCATATGTTCTTTGTGTTTCAGAGAAACTTAAGAATATGAATTCAGCAATGCAGGAACTCAAAGCCAAGATGCTACAATAATGTATTGAGAAGCAAGCTCTGTGACAGCTGAGTCCTGCTTGTTTTGTTCACTACTATATCCCTAGTACCTAGAACCTGGCCTGGTATACTATAGGTAGTCAGTGAATATTTAATTCCTAAATCAACTAAAATGGAGATAAAAGAGCCAAGGAAATTAAAGATGAAAAAACCACTTTAAAGGTCTAATAAATAATTAGAAGCATGAGGAAACAGACTAGAGAGCTGAAAGTCAAATTACTGATGTAGAGGAAAAGCATGAGATAATCACAGAGAACACTGAGGCAAAGGACAAAAGTATTAAAACTCTTAGAAGATAATATATATGGAAGAAACAAAGATGGTTCAATAAGATTGTGTCCCTGAAATAGAGAACACAGCAAATGCAAGAAGAAATGTACTTACCGTTATAAAAAAAATTAAAAAGGAAGAAAAATTTATAGATTAAAAGGATATGTCATGTTCCATGGAAAAATTTGTATAAAACAGTCAACACTAAAGTATGTAACCAGGTTAAGGTATTTAATTTTCAGA